CTGTTTGGTGAAAATCCCTTACACGGGAGGTCTGTTAGGCGGGGGGCCACTGTATCAGTGGCAAGAATTGCCATGTAAGACAGAAATATAGCAATTGCAGCAGTTACTGAAACCTATTGAATGCACAAGGTCTTCAGCCTGTTCCCAGATAAGGTTTAGTTGAATGAACAATTTAGAGAGAATCTTTGATGATAAATAATATCAGGTCAACAGTTTATCTTGATCCTCTATGATTTCAGAAAGGGTCTCTTCCTTGTATTCCAATGCTTGTAAATCTTTCTTAAGCTCATTTCTATCCATATGGAATGCTTGGGAATCTATGATATCATATTTATTGATGGATTTTGCTTAATATTATTAATTTTAAAAATCGATTTTCAACCATTCAAAATTGAAGTGAGCATCTCAAACGGGATGCCATTTTTGTGTTAATTCAACCACAAAAAAGCCAAGATTGGCGTATTACTGTAAAGGGCTCGTGGTTACTTGGGTGAATATGGAAACAGATTTCATTTGCTGATGTGAGAACGATGTTCTGCTGATCTTGTGTATTTAGGTACGACGTGCCCGAACTTTCCAAGTACCTGGATTTCATCAACGTCATGACCTACGATTTCCATGGCCAGTGGGAACGACAAGTCGGCCATAATTCGCCGCTTTACGCATTGGAAAGCGCGTCCAAGTACCAAAAGAAACTCACTGTGGTTAGTGTTCTTCATCATAACATATATGCACCTTTTTTTTCAGAAGTCAATGAATTTTCCGTTATTTCACTCGTAATAATATAGCTTCGCATCTTTCAAATAAACACGATCTAAAATTATTGATTAGTGTTATGGGAATTTGTTTTAATTATCAACTGTGCCAGCAGGAGTTTCGAAAAGAAATATCATCGAGGAAATTTCATTTATATCACTACTTTTCTGTTCCCAGGACTTTAGCGCGAGGGAATGGGTTCGTCAAGGTGCGCCAAAAGAGAAGCTGCTTATTGGCATGCCGACCTACGGTAGGTCATTCACGTTGGTGGACGAAGAGAAATTCGATATTGGCGCACCAGCAACTGGTGGAGGAACTGCTGGTGAATTCACTGGAGAAGAAGGCTTTTTATCCTATTACGAGGTTTGTCAATTGTTTGCACTCATTGAGAATTCCATCAGTTGGGATTTCTGACTGGAGTCGAAATTTTCCCATTTTTACGGAGTATATACTGTGGTACAGGTGGTACCTTGCTCTTTGACCCTAATCAATTGCCAAACTAGGGTCAAATTGTTCATCAGTCACATTGCACGACACTCCATGAAATTCAAAAATATAAGTACAAAAATGCAAAAAATGGCCCAATGAGGTCAAATTGTGGTGCAAGGGTCAAATAGCAAGTCAACCTCCATGCAAATTCAACTGTCAAATTGCAAGATGGTCAAAGGGCAGGAGGTTGAATTTCAAGGTACCACCTGTATCTCAATTGATGGATTTCTTCCACTCATCAGATGTTTTTGTGCTATCACTTTGCATTTATTGAGGACAGATGTCTTCAATATAAGTTAGTGTTGAGTATTTTGATTGATAAACAATAAAACAAGTTGATCAGTCTGGGACAAGACTGGGATTGCTTTTTGGAATTCCTAGCTTAAGGGATAAAGTGTATTTCACATAAATATACTAAATAACAACTCAACAAGCTTGGGCTTGTGGGAGTAATATGAATAACTTGGAATGGCTCAGCTGAAACTGAACTGATCTAATGAGAATATAAAAAGGATGTAGCTTTTATACTACCAATAATATTTAACCTTCAACAGGTTTTACTATTACAACAAAGGCAAGAAAATTAACCTTGAATATGCTCAGTGCCAGGATGTTCCTGGCACTGCAAATTTGAGGAGGGGAAGCTATTTCTAAGAAATAAGTATTTTATTGTACTTGGCGTGCATGCCCAACAGGATTGGCACAAATTTGTGCATCAAATCTTAGACCAGGAACTACGTCATGATTTTAATTAATTATAAAAAATAGGTCATGACTTAAAACCAAGACCTGTGAATCGTTTCATGCGAATTTTGTGCTGCTATTGACCAGAAATAATTTTTTGTTTTTGACAGGTCTGTGACTTCCTGCATCAAGACAATGTGACATTGGTATGGGACAATGAGCAGCAAGTACCTTTTGCTTATCGCAAGGATCAATGGGTCGGATTCGACGATGAACGCAGTCTGAAGACTAAGGTGAAAATTGAAAACCAATATTGTAATTAATTTTAAAACTGCTCCGTAGGTATTAATGTTGCATCATTACTTTAGAAAAAAAATCCGACCGTTCAGCATGATATTTCATTTCGAATGCAATATTCGGACCCCGAAGGCATGCGAAGGCGGATGAGCAACAGTTTAAATACGAAACGAAAATTAAAAAAAAAAACGATGGCATCCGTTGCAATATTGCCCATGCATTATTTTTCAAAATTTTTCTTATTCGAATAAAAATTCCCCAGATGGAGTGGCTGAAGGAAATGGGTTTCGGAGGCGTGATGATTTGGAGCGTGGACATGGATGACTTCAGGGGAAGTTGCGGGATGGGCAAATTCCCGCTCATCAACGCCATCAAATCTGGTCTGGAGAACTACAGGGTCAAGTACTCGTATGAGGGTCCTTACGATGGACCCTCTGTGTACCAGAAAAAGAAGAAAGATCGTGAGTTGTATTCATTGTTGTGAGCACTATGCATAGAATTGTCAACTTTCAGTTTCCATTTAAAATTCTCGGAACAAAACATATACGCGAATAAAGTACCAATGAGACCCCAACATACGGACGATTCGACATGGATACATCTGAAGCTTAAAAAAAAAAGCTGACCCAACATCCGGACAATGTTCAGAGATAGGGACTTTTTCCAACTTTTCAAGGGAAAATTAGAAGAATTGTATTACCGTACACACAAATTTGATATCTCTTGAAAAATTGAGCTATTCTCGAAAAAATTGAATATGTGTTCGCAAAAATTACGAATAAATTCATGATTATATACTCAATCTAATCCATAATCAAAAGCAGCCTAATTTTGTGGCGCGTTTGGGCCTTGAACTGCTGGGTAAATAGTCTCTCACTTTCTTTTGAAAAGTATAAAGATACATTTTTATTTCTCTTCTCTTTCCTGAGTCGCCAGAATAATGACCTAAAGGCCTTCAGAAGCTCGAGAGGTTTGACAGGGGAGGTCTTCGAGTTGGGGAGGTCCGTAATATTGGGTTCTTGAGATCATTCAGGCTGGGACTGAACAAAAAACTCAAAATTTGTTTAAAATCAGAAAGGGAGGTATGATGTCCAACTGTATGTAATTATGTAACATGTAATTTTCAGAATTTGTCAATTGAAATTCCTCTTTAAAAAAAGGCTTTTCATCGATTATCAACTAAAGTATATTACGCACATACATTTTTGCTCATCGACACTGTACAGCTCCTCTCAAAGAAATATCAATGATTCTTTGCTGCTGCTGTTCTGGAAACGGGTTCTTGCGCGGAATTTTTGTTGTTTTGTAAAATTCAAATTCAGCGCTACTTTTATTTTGGTTTCAATTTTGATATTTATTTTAATTTTCGTAATAATTATAATTATAATTTAAAATGTAATTTTAATTTAAATTGTAATTTCAATTAAAAATGTAATTTCAATTTGAAATGTAATCACAATTTGAAATGTAATTTTGATTTGAAATGTAATTTTAATTTGAAATGTGATTTCAAATTTAAAGGTAATTTTAATTTTAAAAGCAATTTTACTTTTAATTTTCATTCACTTTTTTTTTGTTTTTCAATTTTTTTTTTCATTCCAGCAAATGAGGTTGTGTGCGAGGAATCGGATGGTCACATTTCGTACCACCGGGACTATTCCGACTGCACAAGGTACTACATGTGCGAGGGCGAGAGGAAGCACCACATGCCCTGTCCATCCAACCTGGTGTTCAATCCGGACCAGAGCGTGTGCGACTGGCCGGAAAACGTGGCACACTGCGCCCATCTGGCGCCCAAAAAGGACGAGCGGCGATGAGTGTGCCACTACCCACCAACGCCACACCATCAGCACTCGACCAACATATAATCATTATCATCACGCACCCGCATCAGGGAGATTTTTAATTCGAGGGACAACGAACGACAACAACAAGAAAAACAGACGCAAAGAGAAATTCTTTCTTTGAATTGGCGAATGAATCCCTCAGCAGACTTCGCATGGGCTGTTACTCATACTTCATTCGCTCAGGAGATCGTTTTTCTTCTGAAGCTCTTCCGTTTGTTTTTTTTTTCAAGAAAAATACGTACGCCACATGCAGGTATACTTGTTTAATTTGTAACTCGTACGATTACAAAAATATGTTTCTCTCATTTTTGCCTTATTCGTGAAGCAGTGGAATCAATGCGACAGCTTNTTTTTTTTTCGGTGGTTCCCATTCATGCGAATATACTTTTGAAAATTTCTCCGACAGCTTTCCAATGAATCAAAGTTCACTGGCGCAAGAAATATATTTCTTGACGTTTTGATAACCACGAATGAGCAAAAGCGTCGACTGCTCAAAGTGTGGTTGTCATTCAATCAATCTAATCATTGGCCAATCGTGTGAGAATCAATAAGCCACGAAGCAGGATGCATGAATCGCAATCGTGCAGCTTTTTATTGACTTGTTCAGTGATGACGTTTCTTCCGGATACATCAGAAACAAAAATTTACTCGACTATATAAGAATTCAATTTATTTTTGTTTTTGAAATTTCCAGAAAAAGAAATGTGTAAAGGTATGGTGACCGTGAGCTGGATTGAGTTTAAGTTTAGAAAATCCGTGCTGCTGTGCAAGTGCCATCGGACACTATATACATTATTTTTTTTTCACGGGGGGCACCACTTGAGCTTTATGAGGATTTGGTTGTGGTCGACTCGTCTGAATTTTTAAAAGCATTCATTTCTTGTGAAATCTGGAAAGAAAAAAAAACATTCGCTCCCCTCTAATGAATCCATGGGTAACAGATTTTAATGTCGCTAATTTTTTCCGCATCGTTGTCTTTGAAAAAAAAAATACACACAACTTGGATTGACTCCAGAATGCCTTTTTTTTTGCGGGAGGTTTGAGTTGTCGAAGTCTTATAAAAATATTTGAAGGGTGTATAGTTCTGGGAAATTTTGCCGATTTCCCAAGATTTTTTTTTTCGGGTGAGAGAATTGCAAATGCCGGTGATCAGGCATTTTGAATGGGATTGAGCGATTGAAGCGCAGTTTAACAGTAGCGCATGTAACTTTTTGTATCATTTTTGTCCTGTGTGTAAAACTGTGCCTTAAATTTCTCAAAACGATTGTTTTGGAAAGATCGTTTCCGGGACTCAAGACGGAGAAAAAAAATCACTACGTTGTCTTTCAAACAAAAAATGTGGAAATCTTGTTCTTCTTGTTTTTATTTTGATTCCACGCGGAAGCGTTGTGTTGCCGAAACTGTCGCACTGCCAGAACTGAGTATTTTCGCATTTACATTCTCCACCTTGAGAAAATCGGATCTCCTCGGTATATATATATTTTTTTTTCGTGAGTTTTTCTAACGATATCCTGAGATTCCCGGGATTTCTGCACGGTGCCAATTTCAATCCAGTGCTAGACAGCCGTCTTCTTTTATTTTTCCGTGGCCTTCATATGGATTACTTTTCATCTGAGATTCGATTTAAAACAATTTTATTTGCGAGGAGATTTTGTTGTACTTCGATGAGGGCTCTTGCTGGTCCATTTTTTTGTGTAAAAATTTAGTTGTACTTCTATTTTGTTCGAATGGTCCGTCGCGGATCCGGGGACAGTGTGGCGATCTTGGAAATAAAAACGTGGATCTTGAGATTTTCTGATTTGCAGATTATTGATTAAAAGTTTTTTTTTTTCTTGGATCCTGGCCGTCCAAAATATATTTCCGTTTACGGTGGATTCATTTTTCGGAAAGAGAATGCCAAGGAATTTCGCTAGTTTACGAATGAGAAGTATTGTCTAATCATGACGAGCTTCAATTTTTCCGTTACCTCGATTAATGAAGCGACACTGAAAAGTGCTCAAATCGGTATAAAACCTGCGCAAAGAACAGAAAAATTGAGATTTTAACGAAATATTCTTGGAGAACGTGAATACTCGCCGATTTATTTCTCTGTCAGGTTCATAAAATGATATTTGCACCCCTATAAAAAACTTTCTTTTTATAAAAAAAAAATGTCAGAATGGATTTCTCGAGGAACATGATATGCAGAAAGTTTCATGTATTTTTCTTTCGTTCAATTGATTTGCGGAAACAGAAAATATTTAAATCATCCCTACTGTATGAAGCAAGTGGAAAAATCGCAATTTTGCAGAAACAGAATATTATACATAATCCCTGCACCTTTCAACGACTACAGCCTAGAAGCCGCAGACAAACTGTAGGTATGAAAATTCCGGATTCTGCAAGACAGATGTCGCGTCATGTGAAAATACATTGTTTTTTTCTTCGCAACAGAGATATCCGTGAGATCACTTCCGATTCTCCTCGTTGAAATAGATTTTCAAAAAATTAGTCATTTTAGAAATGAAAGCCAAACATCTTGATTCAAACGATTTTACTTCTGTATCTCAATTCGTGAAGCATCATCTTCAACGTTGTTTAACTAGTATGAAGCAACACGAGACATAAGTACATAATTGCCTAAAATTGCTGAAAATGTGCCAGTAAATGGCATACGATCATGTCCGAGCTTCCGAGAATAATCAAATCTGACGGTGAAGGCCCCTATTCAGTGTTGCAACTCATTATAATTATGAAAAAATAATCAAATCAAGCACTTGATTTTAATCCATTAAATGTAAATAAACCGGAATCTGGAAAAATAAGTTCACTTCGGGCTCAGCTGTATCGCAAATCATCAATATAAAACACTGGTTTAAATGTTTCATGTGCAAAAATGTGGCCACAATTCATCAACTAGCTATTAATGTAAGTAAATTGGAAGTGTAGTTAAATCACGGTTCCGTCTCAAATCAATAATTCCAATGGCAAAATTGAATGCCTTTCCGGATCGGAATCCATTTCACTCTCTTTTTCACTCGTCATAGGAACAATATCTTCATGTCCTAGTACTCATTATACGTGTGTATCGAAATATAAAGGCAAGATATGAACTAGAATAGAATTTCTTCAACCCAGTGTTATAGTCACACGGTCTGATGTTAATTCAAAGTCAAGAAATTTGCTGATTTTTGGGCAGTATCTTCAAGTAATTTTGACATCTTCCAATTGAAAAAATTGCCAATGAAATTTCAAATCAGACCGAAGATGAGGCGTAATACATCCGTAGGTATTTTAAAATAGCAGCGTGTCTTTATGTTACGTACGTGTGAATAGCAGTCCAATAACCATGTTTACTAGTGGCAATTATACCTACAACTAATTATTCATGCGTTTCGAAAAACGCTGTTTACAATAAATGAATAAGGGATCGAAACTTTTATTTGTTTCTCGCTTTTCGGAAAATTCTCACGGATATAAAGAACATCAACTTCTCTAAAAATCTGTCCTCCGTCAATAACAATAAGAAGTTATTTCATTTTTGGAGAGTTCTTGAATATGCTTTAGATTTTAGAAGTTTTTATTGCATATAAGATATAACTAGCTTTCAAAAAATCCTCTTGAAAATGCACAGCTTGCACAGCTGAATCCTACTGTAAAAAAAAACCCGAAAAATTAAGATTACGAACAAGAGCTTCCAAAATGAATTTAACATCAACTAGCATAACTCTCTCCCCCCCCCCCCCCAAAAGCAGCATGTATGACCTCACCAACATGCAATATTCCTAGCACGCATTCCAGATGCTTCCGCTGATAAGAAAAATTGGCCAAAAAACGGTGCTCTTGTTCTGAATAAGCGCTACGAAAATCGGCACTCCTCACAATCCTGTTATTGTGTAATGCAAACGAAAGTGCTGGGATACACGGGATAAAAGAAAAATCTCAGTGGGCCTGTGGGAACCCAATTAGTAGCATGAAATCAGTGATGTCGATCAGTTTTGCGTGTTGCCAAGTCGTGAGCGGGTTGTTGTCCTGGCAACCAGTCGACTGAACTTGTGTCGCAGCAAGGTTCAGCTGTAGCAGTGTTGAGGAATCGATCCGCATGAGCTGGCCAAATGGACAAAATGTGGGGACGAAGGACTCGAATAACTGGTGTGATGGACAAAATAGCCACTTTAAAAAGTTTAAAAAAATTGAAGGTACACTCACGAGTAAACATATACAATGGGACCTCGACATACGGACACCTCAACATATATGAATAACGATTTGACTAAGGGACACACTTGGAACTGAAAAACTCAGCCCCCAACATCCTGAATTGTGATATGGACACTTTTCCAAAATTTCTGGAAAAACATATGTAAAATTTTTTTTCTACATTTTTCTATTTATTTTTTATTTTTTACAATGGGGCAATTGTTTTTACAATTACTTTATTTTAAAAATAACTTCATTATGAAATTACCCTGATTAATGATCAAACAAGTTTGACTTTGTGCTTCTTGAATGGATGAATGAACAGAACACTTTATTTGCCACTTTTCAGCATTCACAAGGTTCAACCAAGATCTCCACAACCAAACCCCCCTCCCACCCAACCCAAATCCACTCAATGACATTTTAATCCCTTCAGAGCAGGAAAGTGCAAATAGATAACAAAAATAAAAGAAAATACAATACAACATGAAATGCAGCTGGACATCTGACATGTATGCATACACCCATTCATTCCCTGACATTGGGAAAAAAATATGCATAAAAATTAATTTAAAGCACAAGGTCTTCAGCTTGTTTCTGTGCTTCTTTTTTCAGTCCCCCCCCCCCCATCTCATTCACACAGTGTAGCAAGACTTGTTCTTGCTTTTTGAAAACAGGCTACTTATTTGCTTCCATGTTTATGAGGCTTTCCATTGATTGCTTGAAATAATGTGTGAGATTTTTTCTTGCTTTTTTGAACTACTTCTCATATAAAAAAGGCCAAAATATGTTGGATTTACTTCTGCGCCATTATTTCCAGCGTGGTGAAGGTAAGAAACGCATGTTTATTGGATATTTAAATAATGTCCTTTTTTGCAATGCATGTGCAGTTTATAAAAATATTCCCATTATTTTCTGTGGAAAATTGTGATCTCACTTGCAGATGTTCCACCATAATAAATTGATGCAGTCTGAAAATT